AATAAAAAATACATGTTACTAATGTTATTAAATATAGCTAATATCTACGATTCTTCTGTATGTATATTTTGCATATATTTAATTCAATTCTTTGTTATTTGGATTTTAAGATTTTGCATATATTTTATTACGCTGTTTATATGCGTCAGTTCTGAAGAAAAGAATCTGGTAACTATTGAGTTGAGTATTATATGTACTAAGAACCTCATTATACAATAATTTATTGACCATTTTTGTTGGCTTTTGGTAGAATTTATGTTTGGTGTTTTGAATTAATCACAGATACACATCTTCACAAAACTATAAAATCTGTAAATTAAAATAAATAACGGCTTTGCCACTTCTTTAATATTGCCTATACATATAACAAAATTCTGAATCGAATTTGTGCATTAAATATTTTTTGGAAAATCTTATTGAAATAGTCATTATTATCGATACAGAGGCCGAATCTATAGTAGAATTTTTGTCTGTCTTGTCTGGGAACGCATCACGAGAAAACTACTGGACAGATTTTGATGAAATTTGGTATGATGATAGCTGGTTGTCCGGGTCAACATACCTATAGGATACTTTTTACAGCTGGAAAATATGTCATGTCTGAGAAATCTATACTAAATGTTAAAACGTAACTAGAGACAAACCCGAGCAGAGCGAGGGTGAGTCGCTAGTCGTAAATATAATGCATCGCCTCGACAGTGCAGTGATTAATAATTTATCTTAACACTTCATCTTATATTACAATAGATTGTGGAACAAAAACATTTTATCGTTGTTTAATGCGTATCCGTATTTTATCGTGGGTGGTCCCAAACTTTCCTTTTTTTCTCAATATGCTTTTAAATTAAATCAATAGCCTACAACAGTTCTTTACAATTTATTACACTTTAGAAATGTAAATATTTAAGTAACACGGCTTTATATATTAGTATTCAATGTTTTGAAGGTTACTCATTTATGGAATAGATACATTTAGATATTCTGGTAAGACTAGCAACTCAAGCTCTGGTTCGTCCATAGGTACGTTTTAACAGTTAGTAAAGATTTCTCAGAGATGAGATATTTTTCCGCAATAAAAAGTATCCTATATAGTTGACGCGGATACCCAGCTTTATCTCGTGAAACATTTCCGGACAGACAGACAAACAGCCAGACGTACAGACAGACAAAAATTCAAAAAACTATAGATTCGACCTCTTAAGATAAGATTTTCCAAAAATATTTAATGTACAGATTCAACTCGGTTAGAATTTTATTATATGTATAGATATTGCCTAATCCAAATGACGTTGATATGATAAAATTTCAATTTAAGTCTATAAGAAAGAATTAAAGGCATGTGAATGGTTAACTAGAAATAAAAGAAGAATATAAAAATAGTTCTATTTAGCACCTCGCTGTGACCTTTGTGTAGGTGAAAATTACAATTAAATGATTACTTTTAAACATTAATTTAAATAAATGAATTCTTTAAAATTATTATTTCGCCTTAAGAGGTAGAATTTTTTAATCAAATTATAATATCTAGATGTAATACCCCATTCAATGAAAAGTATCATAAGAAACGGTTTCCTATATTACGTGAATTTATTGCAGATATAATATGTGTTGTGTGTAAGGTGTAATAGAAAAAAACACACACACACAAAAGTTAGAAACTACTCCCTTTCTTGACATCGGTCAACAAAATTATATTAAATTCCTTAAGACTTCTTTTTACTATTTCTTTAGACTTCCACATTAAATACTAAGAAATCTAAATGATATTATAGTATAGCATCATGAATTAATAATCTTTTAGTTGTTTTTTCTAAGTACTAGAACTCTTTTCCTGTGACAAATTAGTATCAATCGAAAGTAAAAGACTTGTACATAATGTCATCATACCTGTTTATTTGGCGGCATTTTTGGAACACATTACCTGACATCCTGGTATAAACAGGTAAATTGAAGTTGTTAATTGCTTATATCGTTTTCGAACCAAGTATCAAAATGTCGATAATTTTATAACTTTAATGACATAGGGTTGTCATACCAAAACATCTTCATACTAGAGGTTTTTTTTAATAAAAAATAGCCTGGGTCGTATTCGTTTATAATTTGTTTATAGTTTAAAAAATATATTTTTCGCTTAGAAATAGAATGGGGGGTCCTTCACATATTTATCGGTATCTCCAACTTTTATGTTTTTTGAAGTTATACTTATTTTGGCACGTTTGGAAAAAAATATGAGAGTAAAATTTTTACGATGCGCGCGCACACCGACAGCCATATATACACTAGTACATATAATAAAATTCTAACTAAGTCGAATATGTGCATTAAATATTTTTTTGGAAAATCTTATTGAAATAGTAATTATTATCGATACCGACACCGAACTAGCGACACCGACGACATGGCCGACACGTAACTTGGGACAAACCCGAGCAGAGCGAGGGTGAGTCGTTAGTACAATTATAAATACAAAAGGGAAGTGAAAGTAAATCACTAATTATAAATAACAAACCAAACAGACACCAGACCTTTGGGAAAGCAATATATCAATTAATAGTTATTGATACGCACACGGATAAAGTTGTCACTAAATACGAACCGTCCAACATTTATCTTTCGGTGACAACGACCAATGTCACCAACTGAAAGCGTTATGTAACAACAAAGCTAAATACCGTTTAAAAAAACATTTTACGAAACAAAGTTTTATTATAATGGAATAGGGTTCACAGTTACAGTAATAGCAGCAAAGGATATTATGGTAAAGTATAAATCCTGCGACATCTCAAGTGGTGTACAGTAACCATGTCGGTAGAATCGTTGTATAATAAATAAATATTTACGAAACGTTTTGAGTTTATTATTATACTCGTGGTATATATATACGTATTGTCTTTCTCCAGCGACATTTATACATCGGTATGAAAAGTATCGTATGTCCCTGTTCGGTCTATCATTTATTTCTTTGTCAAAAATCATGTTTTTTAGTTTCATTGCTGTCCGAAATACTAACAATCAAACCAATATAATCACAAATAATTTAATCTATACACCTATACATATAATAAAATTCTAACTAAGTCAAATCTGCACATTAAATATTTTTTAGAAAATCTTATTGAAATAGACATTATTATCGATACAGAGGCCGAATCTATAGTTTTTAGAATTTTTGTCTGTCTGTCTGTCTGTCTGTTACCGCATCACAGAAAAACTACTGGACGGATTTTGATGAAATTTGGTATAGTCATAGCTGATTATCCGGGTCAACATATAGGATACTTTTTACCGCGGAAAAATATCTCATTTCTGAGAAAAAATACAAAAACTGGTTAGAATAAAAAAACTATGATACTATATAGATTTTAGCAAGTTAACTTACTAAATATGTAAAAACTATTAAAAATAGCTAATCTTGAAAAAGTATATCAATAGCACTATTTTATTCATAAAAAATTTTTTTTAATGAATATTTATTTTTGTATTTTTTATATATTTGTCGACAGATGTCGCCATGTGTCTTTAAAATACGTAGTTTTAATTCCAAAAAATTTAATGTACAAATTCGACCTTTCTATGATTTTATTAAAATTACTACTAAATTACCCGCGGCCCGCCCGTGTTTAAATTATCAAAAAAAATCTTTTTGGCTTTATAAATTAATTACATCTATAGATACATTAAAATTTAATGAAGCAGTGTCCGTGCTTTAAATATTTTTTTGGAAAATTTTATTGAAATACACATTATTATTGCTAACAGAGGCCGAACCTATAGTTTTAAGAATTTTTGTCTATCTGTCTGTCTGTGATCGCATCACAGAAAAATCACTAGAAGGTATGGTAATAGCTGGTTATCCAGGTCAACTAATATACTAACTAATATACGAGTATACTAATATATAAAACCTAAGAATTTGGTTATGGTCATATGAACGCGGGCGGAGCCGCGGGCAATGCTAGTGATATAATAAAATTGTAACTAAGTCGAATCTGTACATTAAATATTTTTTGGAAAATGTAATTGAAATAGACATTATTATCGATACAGAGTCCGAATCTATAGTTTTTAGAATTTTCGTCTGTCTGTATGTTACCGCATCACGAGAAAACCACGGGACAGATTTTGATGAAATTGGGTATGATAATAGCTTGTTATCCGGGTCAACATATAGGATACTTTTTACCGCAGGAAAATATCTCATTTCTGAGAAAAAATACAAAAACTGCAAGGTAAGAGTATGCTAATAATATGTAAAACTTAAGAATTCGGTTTTTGGACATCTGAACGCGGGAGGAGCCGCGGGCAATGCTAGTTATTAATATAACTTAAGAGTGTAAAAAGGACCCAGAGCTTTTAATTAATAAGCTTTAAGTTTTATCTGATTAAGTAGATACAGATTAAGTAAAGACATGTTTGCAACAGAAAAGCTGTGGTCTTCAGTTTGAATACATTTTTAAATTCATATTCTTACTCACTACTGATTTGGTCGTGTCTATATTTTATTTATTCTATAACAGCAAAATATTACTCTCAATAATAAAGCTCAGATTCTTTGTATCTGTGTTTTTTAAAGTTTACTAATAATATAAGGCAATGGTAGCTTAGTGGTAAGACGCTCGCTTGAAAAATATTATTATTTCACAAAGATCTTATAAAAATTAATATAGATAATATTTTATGGCTGCTTTATTAGATACAAATGACATTTGAAATCTTAAAAGCTAGAGGTATATATTATTTTAGAAGTTTTTCAATTTTATTTCTACAATAAGAGATAATGTACTGATTACGGAAAGTCGTTTTTTTAATTGTTATCTTATATTTAACAGCTTTTCATAACTATCCCACATGCTTTCGCACGTTTTTTTTAATTTAATTTCTAAATTAAATAGTTAATACCGAGTCTTCCAGTAAAATGGCAGTAAACAGACGGATATGACATAATTTTAGCTACGGAGGAACCATAAAAATTACCGATAATATTAACTAAAACTAACAAAATGTTCATTTTTTTCAGATTACCTCTCCATTCAAGGATCCGATTTACTTTGGGGTGAGTTATAAATATAATACATAATATATCTACATCTATTATAAGCATCCTTCACTTTTTTAGACAAGTATATTCACGGGTGAAAATACTTATTGCAAATATTTTACTAAACTAGTTTATCCTATTATATTTTCTATATAAATGAGTCTTAAATAAATACTTGTAATTTTAAGACTAACAATCCATTTTAGAAAATTCTTTAACTAATACGAAGGTTTGTTACCGCTAAGTACTATAGGTTATTTTTTTTTATTTTTGGTAAAATGTGAATGTGTAATATCAGAAACTATAAAAACTTTTGAATATAAACCTACATAAAAACATTTTAACAAAAAATTAAAACCGACTTCAAACAAAAGCACTAAAAAGTAAAAAATAACTGATTGGTAGTTTTCATTTACTATACATACCTAATCAAATATTTTCGAAGTCGGTGTGCTTTGCTTTGTATCGGCTGGCACCGACTTCGAAATTCCAATCTGGAAGTATACATTTTCAAACAAAACAAAAATTGTCCAAATCGTTTAAAAATGACGAAGTTTTGAGGTAACAAACATAAAAAAACATACAGGCGATTTGAGAACCTCCTCCTTTTTGAGGAAATCGGTTGAAAAGACACCTAAGGATGAAACAGAGCAAATTAAAGGTGAACCACTAGTTCAATATAGACAGATACAAATAACCCAAAATTGCCCTATCTAAAATCAAAACGCTTTTGCAAGATTTGCTAATATTTGCTTTTCGCAATTTTACAATAGCAATGTAACGATTCATCTAACTCTACAGCCAAAGGATGTTTTTCTCCGATAACTTGATTAATCACAACGACATCGAAGACAAAATTTGTTCCAAGATTGTTCATCGGAGTCAATTTGAGGTGAAATTAACTGGAAACTCTATTCAGAAAGTTGGTGAGTTCGGGAATGTTGGACGTAATGGACTTAACGCTCCTGCGACGAATCCGTAAGACAAAAGCGCTATTGTTTCTGGGGTTCTCGTGTTAGAATTCAAACGCCTATACGCACTACTGATTTTTTTTAAATAATATATTATATATTTTTTCGTCTTCTTTATATTAAGAAATGTACACACATGTCGCTAATTTATTTTATATAGTGTTAAATATTCCCAATTTTTATGCTATTATATTTTTATTGATTGCTTGTCATATCAGATTCATGAGATACAGAGAAAACTTAGGAACTTAACGGCTGATTTTGATTGACTTTGTCTTTTTTAACATAGATAATTGAAAAGAAAGTTTTTTTTTAAATTAAAGTTCGAAAAGGCCCCATGTCATACTGCAAAAAACAACCTGACGGTATCTGGACTGGCAGCGACTAATAAACACTAGGTAATACTATTTATGTGGATACATATAAAATGAATATAAAATGAGAAGAACTTTGATATAGACAAGAAAAATATGTCAGACATTTTGCCAAAGTCAACTAAGGATTTGCTTACTTAAAATTCACAAAAAATTACCATGTTATATATAAATATACCTATATAAAAAAATAGCAAATATATAGGTACTCTACTATACATTAATGGATTAAGTGATAACCACTTAACTTATCAATCCAACCTTTACATATCTTAGAAAATTCAATTTATTCAATACTTTTCTTAGTTATTTACCTGTAAAAGTAAAAAATAAACTTTTATTTATTTTCTCATTAAAATAAAAGAAAGTTTATTTTTTATTTTTACAGGAAAATACTCAATAAAAAATAAAAAAATAACTTTTTTTATTTTCTCATTAAAATAAAAGAAAACTAACGTGTACAGACAAGACTACAATAAAGAACTTAATAAAGCTTTTGATGTGATACTCGCAAAAGAAAAGGAGAATGACAGCTTATTAAGAAGTGAAGTAGGCGTAAGCTTATAGCCTTAGTTTATGTCACCACAGTGCGAAATGCCCTCAATTGATTCTAGAAACACGAATGTTTAATTGGACAACTTAATTCTTATTTGTATTGTTGTTCTAATTAATACAATAAATTGCACAAGTTTTGTACGAAGTTGAGACAGTCTAAATAAATGTGATGTACATTTCTATCTACTCTACAGTGGTAACATCTGATACATTATGTAAAAGATAATTGTAATATATATATATATATATATAACACTTCTAAATAAAATAAAAATCGATGTCAATCTAGATCAGAGCTATATTAAAGTTAGGCATGTGCAACATATTATTATATGTTGGAGAATAACATTTCGTGTAAGCATCCTTATTGAGCTTATTTTGGAATCCATGGACAATAAACAAAATACGTATATTCTTACTTATTATAGTACATATATTACATTATACTACATGTTATTTTGAACTCATCTTAACAAACAAATAAATAAAATTGAAATGTCTGTTTGTAATGTCAAATTAAGAGCTTATTTTACTAAATGCTTATTTAAATAAATATATTTGAAAGTATATACGGTACTTATAAGATTTTATTTTTTTATTTTTCTATATCTGTCTGTTTGTTCCTACTAATCTCCGAAACAGCTGAACTGATTTTGACGGGACTCTCACTTACTGATAGATAATGTTATAAGGAGTAACTCAAGGCTACTTTTATTTAGAAAAACAATTAGGGTTCCGCGAAAATAAATTAAAACCCATAAAATTGTAAGCAAATTCTGAGTACCTAGAGACGTAGCGAAGTAAGGGTGAGTCACAAGAATTAATATAAAATGCACTACACTACTAGATAGCAAAAACAGTACAATTAATATAATAGTCTCTACTTGTAATTGAGAATAGATTAGTTTTTTGCCTCAGGAATGCTTATGTCGTTCAACTGACGGAATGCAACACCATACCTACCATTGTACGTATTAAATAATTATCTGTATATTAAAAATGTTTAGTTTTTATAATTATATTTTTATTAATATAATTAAACCAGCTGCATATCTAGCATATTTCGTAGAAGGAATTATTCTATAGGTACTAGCTTTGACTTGTTGTATAGCTTTTTTAAAGGTTTTTTAACTAGTATAAGTTGATTTTCAAATATCTTTATTCATATCATGAAGTTCTTATAATTAATAACAAAAGAATATAACAAAATTTCAATCTCTAGATTTATCTTGCTTTTATTAAAATAGTTTTAAAGTTTCTTACTTATCCTTTAGTAATATAAATGAGAAAGATTTTTTATTGATGTATCCTTTCACGTCATCTATACATACTCGTATATAAATTTCTGAGTCGAACCTGTATTATTATATATTTTTTGGAAAATCTTATCGAAATAGTAATTATTGTCGATACAGAGGCTGAATATATAGTTTTTTAAATTTTTGTCTCTCTGTCTGTCTGGGAACACATCACGAGAAAACCACAGGACAGATTTTGATGAAATTTTGTATGGTGATAGCAGGTTAATCCCAGTCAACATATAAGATACTTTTTACTGCGGAAAAATGTCTCATCTCTGAGAAATCGGTACTAACCGTTAAAACGGACCGCTAGTAACATAATATAAACATTTACTATTGCCACTAATAACAATACGTAGAAATGTCTAGATTAAAATAAGCATTAGAAGAAAATGATGATATCAAAGGAAGCAGGACGAAGATACAAATCGAAGTAATCTGGGCGTAGAAGATTAAATGTGAAACAGCAAATCTTTACATGTGATTAAAAAGATACATATGTATAGATATAGTTATTCTCGCTATTATGATAAATGTTAATGTAAATTAAAAATTGTAAATGTAAACATTTTGAATCTTGTGAATCAATATATTTTTTTACTTAATCAATCAATTTTACTTTAACTTAAATGGATAAGTGAATATTAGTGAATATTTTTTATCCAATAATTTTTTTTTTAATAATTGAGGTTGAAAAAAAAAGAGTATTTTAGAAATAGTTTTAGGGCATATATAAAGCATTTTTGATTTTTTTTATGTAAATCAAGAATTACTCTGAAGCCATTTCATGACTATCTAAATCAAAAACTAAATTTTGATATTATTAGTCCAGAAGAATTTATAATATGATATCTTGGATTTCTCATTCTACGTGCACTAATACCTTGAAAGGGTTATTTAAAATACACGAAATATAAGCGGCAGCGCATGCATTAGCTAGTTCTATAAATGCTATAAAATTGAAATTATTATAAAGATGTGTGGACGTTTGTTAATCACGCGAAAACCGCTCAACCGATTTTGACGAAAGTTGACCTATAGATAGACCATGTATCGATTAACACTTACTTTTAACATTAATAATATTTTTAAAACAATTGTTATTATGAAAGGATAAGCCAAAACGTAAATTCTGTGGTAAACTACGTGGGCAAAAGCTAAGATTCAGTAAAATAATTGTAATTTTTTTTTACTTTATAGCTACAGCAATTCTAAGAATTGGACCGTTTTAAATGGCCCATAGAAAATATTCCCACTAGGATACTACACGAAAGTTATAGCCTATACATATGATCAATTTCAGTAGGTACATTAACTGTGTAATAAAATGGTTCGTTTGACGATATATTTGATCTAACTTTATATTTGTCTTCAAGAATTTAATAATTCGATATTTTATTCTTTATTATAACTTATTATTTGTGGAAACTTTATGGTAATTGTTTCAGATATAAGATATTTTTATTGTTTAATAAGTGCGAGTTTGTTATCTACAAACGTATTTGTGCGATTTGTTTACTCCGCTCACATGGTAAGCAAGACTAAGAATAAAAGTTGTCCTATATCCGTTCCTAGATGCAATCTTTATCCTTAAGAAATATCATCGAAATGTGTTCAGCAGTTTCATATTTATATTATTGTGTATTTATTATATTTAATATCCCGATTGACTGACTGATTTTAAATCGGCTCAAACCAATTTCTACAAAACTTAAACGTGAAAAATTTTGTTACTCTTAGTAACAAAACTATATTTAATTAATTTGATATCAGTGTACCTTTTTAGACATAAGTTAATTATTTTATATTTCAAT